CCTGCCTGCCCACACGCTCAATGCAGCCTTTGTATGTTGGCTGCCCTTCCCCAAGACGTTTGGTGCTGCAGCTCCACAAGGTCAGATTCATACCAAGAGAACAGTGCTTGAATCGAGCTCATGGAAAAAGAATAAGAATACCAATGATAATAATAATAATAATAACAGAAATAGACATGCATGAGCACACGTGCTCTATATGCAGCCACACGCGCACAAAAGTGCTTTTACTTTCAAACAAAGACACAGAGAAAATGACCTGGTGAATAAAGCTCTGCATACTCTCCCGGGCTGCTCGGGCACTAGGATTTCTGGTGGTAGTTTCTTGTGCCTGAAATGGGAGTGCTGGGGATGAAGTGTGAAAGAGGAAATGATTTATGGCACTGCAGAGCAGGACCCAGCACTAACCGAGCATCACAGATAGTCCCCAATGGAAATTTGTTGTAATTTTCTTTAGAAGAATGACTTTGAAGGAGGGGAGCACACAATCTGTCTACTTGGTGTGTTCCTAATTGAATTGGTTTTATTTGATATTTTAAGTGCAATGCTAGCTGCACTGAATCATGAGCAGATCGTCCTCGTTCACCTACTGCTGCTCCAAATGTCCTTAACTGGATACCTATCACCTGCACAGCAATGACTAGTGCTGCATTTGGGGAGATTTTAAGGTGAGTCAGGAATGTCTTTGGTATAACAGAAGAGTTATCATCATCCTAGCAGTAAAGTAGTCAGGAATGAGTTTGGTATACATGAGAGAGAACTCTGCAGACTGCAACTGTATTGTAAATATTGCAATTTTTTATTGATGTTAAACAGGCAGTTTGTATTTTCAAAATGCCATTATTAAGGTACATAACAATGCATAATATTCTAGGTCTGAATGCCCTTATTTGAAAATTTGTACTTTATTTCAAGTCTGAATGTTGCTAGCTTCAGCTTCCAGCTGTGATATTTGATTTTCATTTGCCTGACTGAAGAATATTCCATTATCAAATTTCTTTCCATGTATGGATTTGGAGATTTCATTTAAGCTAGGTTAAGTATTACAAACCTGATGTAAACAGCCAAAAAATACATAAGAAAGGATAAAGTTCACAGTAACAAAGTCAACTTTTAATGTCTGTATACTTTTAAGGTCCTTCCACATTTACAAAGTGATAAATCTATTACTAGGTGAAAGTATTATATGCACTACCTGTTATACAAAACTCTTAGTTTTTAGGGTGGTGATGGAAACAGCTGCCTTTTCCTTGGCCAGGAAACATGCTGAGTAACTGTTCACAGTAGGAAGCTGTCAAATACATGGCCTCTTGGTGTTTTACCACACACACACTCAGAGCATTTCATAAGACAAAATTTGAAAAAAAGAGGCCTTTCCACATTTTTCTGGGTTTTAGAAAAGTGTCTTGTAGTCTACACATTCTGTGCTTTTCTCCTGACATGCGTATTGCTGGAAATAAAATCAAGCCATATCCTTTTTATTTCAGAATACTATATAGTTAAGTAAGCAACAAACATGAAAAGTGAAGTATTCTTATCAAATCTTAGTATTCAAGACCTGGTTTTCCTTATGACAAATTACTTCTGTATCCTGCACTTTTTCTAATGCTCCCAAGAGTAGTTTATTGCAGCTATGTAGGAAGCCTATGCTGGCAAAAAGCAAGACAACCACAAGGATATTTTGCTTGGTGCATTTCAGATATTTTCATTGTGACAGTTTCACATCTCAAGAGAAGTAGAGAGCATGCAAGAAAAAGATATATACACCTTTTATTTGTTTTCTGAAATAATTTCCATGTTTCAAAAATAAAATATGAACTAGATTCTTATTCTTGACAACAATAAAGCAGGAATTTAATTTAAAGAAGGAATTTAATCGCAAAAATTGCTAGGATATTTGCAAAAGTTACCACCTCTACACATCATATGAAGAAGCAAAGCATATAGACCAACTATATATTATTCATTGCATTTTCACCTTTTCCAATGTGTTCAAACACATGGAAAGACTGCAGAGGATAAGAAAAAAATCAATAATTCTACTGAGTTACAGTTGGGCTTCAGTTGACTCTCTATGCTGCATTTTTGCTGTTGTGGTTATTACTGAGGCTGTGTGGGAAAAGGTTTGTTATCTGCTCTTAGAAAGAGCAGATAGTAAAATGCAAAGCATCTTTTTGATCACAAGTTACTGCTTAAAGTGAGCTGAACTGCTTGGAAAGAACTGCAACTCCATCAGGCACAGATCTGCCTAAGGATTTCGGAGTGAAATCCTCCTTCACCCAGATGAACCATAAAGTTCATGATAAAAGGTACCATAATATTTGTTTGCAGAAACCTTGCTGAATAGCTATTAGAGGTTTCTACACATTTAAAAATGCGTATTTACATTATTTTCTGTATAGAATAAGTCTGGAACTAAGACACAGTACTAAAATGACAAAGAGATGAAATACACTTGTCTTGAGGGAAACAATTTTCATGGACAAAACAGAGTGAGGAAATTTTCTCTGGCTGTTTCACTTTTGTCTGAGGCCTTGAAACCTCTGTGCATGATTCCATGGAAGAAGTGCACTAATGCTGTAAGACAGGACCCCCAGTACTGCCACGAAGCTCAGGGATGGATTTATTCCTCACTTGCCCAGTTCAGCTGCCCCCGTGGAGCCACTGCCAGCACACTCCACAGGGGCACACAGCCTCCCTGCCCCTGTTCTTTGGGTAGGTGAGACAAATTCACCTGTGTCTCCACAGGTTTCATTTTACACAGACCCTGCTAAGCACAGCAGAACTGTCGCTGTGAAATCTGCTGCACTGGAAGTTCTGTCAGCTTCCACACAGCGGAGGGAGTTGGGCAAGAGTTCAATATGGTCTGAGATACTTTATCAGAAATAATTAATCAGTGACAATATCCTTCATCTACACATGCAATGCATAGAAATGACATAAAGGACATGACACATGTAAAAATCTGCCATTATTTTGGCAATACATCAGAGATGGATAGGTAGTCTGGAAGTAAAATAAAATCCTAGAAAGAAGGAATCAGTTACACTTCTTGGACTCCAGATGAGTCATACTAAAACATGGAAATTAATGCAGCACAGCTGACAAAACATTTGTCTTTTACACAAGGTAGAAAAAAAATATAGTAATATAAAGAAATTAAAGGACTTAAATCCACCTCTGCAAGCTCAGCTCCATCCTTGGGATTGTGATTTTCATTTCCAGTGAGGAATTTTTCATTTTCTAGGTACCATACTAAGTTACTACTGAAATAAATGACATCGATTGAATATGGGGGCTCTCAAAATTAAAGACAGTGCCATTTATTAAATGAAAGCAACACAGAGGAAAAAATATTTATCCTACCAGCAGTAAATAAAACAATAATCTCAGTCTGCATAATTACATACATGCATGCAAAGCTTCAGCTAGGAATACCTGTGTGGCTTTACATGGCTCAGAAGTACTACACTGTTTCTATAATGCAGCTACTGAAATAGCCAGAAAAGTGATCATAAAATTACTCAAAACAAAACAAAGATCCTATACCTCTATAATCCCTCTCCATCTGTGGAGTTAGCTGAACTAATCAATCTCTTCATATTTATATTAACAGAGCATAGTATATTTCCCCTAGGTAATTTCTGAAAAAAATCAAGCCAGCTAAACATATTAAACAGCTTAAATTAGTAGCATATGATTTTTAAACCTATTATACTGTACAGAACATGTGAACGATGTAATCCTTCCTTCCTCCCTCCCTTTTTATACATAGAATCAACCAGGTTGGAAAAGCCCTCAAAGATCATCGAGTCCAGAAGAGCAGTTTGCACTGTGCTTTATGACAGTTTGTCCTTGTGAGCTAGCCATTACCACGAAAGCATTTGAACAGAAACAGATGCATACTGTTTTAAAACAAAAGAGAACATTTGGTCTAGACTGAAGATACCACAATTTAGATTAAGGATGGAACAAAACAGTGAAGTATTTCTGCTGGTTTGCAACACACTTCTGGTCCCATCATATCTCTTCTACAAACTGGTTGTTGGATTTGTTCTTTGGGGTTTTTTTAAGCTTTCAGTCTCTCCATCAAGGTTTTCAGCTCTCCTAGTCCATAAGCAGAACTTTTATTGGGTCTTAGAATGAGATAATTTACTGAACAATTTACATAATGATAAAAACTTCTCAAATGAGATTTAAAATATAATTAAAGGGCAAACTTACTGAGTTAAAAGCATTGTTG